AACCTTTATTGGTAAAGGGCAAGAGCAAGAAATTTATGGACAGATTTCGAGGTCCATACAAAATTGTTAAACGAATTAACCCGGTTAATTACGAGTTGATTAACCTGAAAGGGCCGGTAAAGAAAGAGATTGTGCATGTCTCGAGATTGAGACCATTTCATGGTGAAAATATGGCTCATTCCGGGAATGAGAAAAATCATGCAGATGAAGAAAATGATGAAATTATGGAATTAATGGGTTTAAATTAATTGCAAAAGCCCCATTAATTCATTTTTGTAAATAGAAATCAATTTTTGATATATTGTTTAGCCAATCGATTAATTGGTCAAGGGTGTCTTGGTAACCCTTGTATTGTTTCCCTCGTTACAAGGAAATGGAAGTAATGCGAAAAGTTCTCTTGTAGAAGTAACTTCATTCTTTTAAGTCTTCCATTTTAATTGGGTTTTATATTGGTTTTTTGGTGATTTCTTTTATTTTTGTTAATTGTTAGTGTTTCCGAAACACTCAACTCATCGTGTTCCGAGAACACATTTTATTGTATTCCGAGAATACATTGTCTCTGAGAAGACTTGTGATTGAGATCTTGAACCGAGTTCAAGCAAAGTCCTGACTCTTGTATTCCGAGAATACACTTTTTGGTGTTAATATTTTTGTGTTATTTGGTGATTCCTTGAACCGGGTTCAAGCATCTTTGGTAAAAGAATGGATTCTGATGACGATGTGCAATACATCCCAAATCCCTACGTAGCTAGTGGATCGAGAGGACCTCAAGATGAAGTCATCTTTGAATCGCAGTTCTTTGATGCGAATGGACAACCACGACCGGTGGGAACAATAATTGGTGCATATTCGATGATAGGACCTGGAGGTGTAGCTGTCCCGATTGGTACTCCTGTGACTGAAGCCGCTTCAGTTCAACAACCAGAGGAAGTGAATCCGTATGCTGTCGATCAGAGTCAATTGGTCAACTCAGCTGAATCTGATGAATATTGTTGTCGGATTTGTTTTCAGCTTTGTGTGGAACCTGTGATACATGGAACATCGCCGCAACCCGGTTGCCCTGGACTGTTCTGCAGAAAATGTATCGAAGAATATATTCGAGCATCTCGTGATCCTGATGCGGCATATCGCCCTATCTGTCCTTATCGATGTAATGAAGAAGAACTGATGTCTGCTCCTGGAGCCATAGTTCCATTGCCTTTGGAAGCGTCTGCTGGTAAGAAGAGCCAGGCTCTTATGGATAATCTTTTTGTTAAGTGTAAATTTCCAGCTTGTGGTATGATTGTTCGTTATGGTGATTACAAGAACCACATCGATGGCTGTGATTTATGCGAGTTGTGTGAAGTTCCTAAGCGGAATCACAATTGTAAAGAATTCATAAAAGAATTGAAAGCCAAGGCTACCGAATCTTCCCGAAATTTGCAAAGTAAAGTGGAGGACCAAGGCGTCAAGATAATAGATTTGATGATGGCTAATGACGCTTTACAAGTGGAACTGGAAAGATTGAGAAACGTGAACCGGGTTCACGGTATGATGAACAACCTTCGTGTTCAAAACGAGTATCGAACTGCACCTACGATAATTGTAAGACATGGCAATAGAAGTGAAAGATTTCCTCACTTGGATCCACTGATGAGAGCTTCAGATCTTCGATCTCGGATCGAACGAGCATTTAGGACTGAAGTTGGGTCAATTATCAGAGTGGATTACACAGTGCTTGATGGTAGGAGAAATTTGAGACAACATCAAGTTGGAAACCGACCAAGTTTTTGGATTGCCTTGCCGCAAGGACAACGCTTGGAAAACGGTCAAACTGTGGAGATTTCTCTTGGATCGAACGGACCCGTAATTTGATCTGAGAAAGGGGGAATGTTGGATAAATTGAGGTTCGCGCTCAAATGTGTGGATGGCAACCCGGTTGCCATCATTTACTGTTGCTAGAGAAATAGCTGTTGTATTTCCTTTCTAAAGTATTTCCTTATTTTGTAATATCCTTTCTAAATTGTATAAATACTTGGTACTAATTGTGATTTAACTAAGCCTTTACGAGAACCTTTGGTTAAGTATTAAATAGTGTAATTGACTAATCAAGTGTGTCAAAAGTGCTTCATCAGGTTTCTGAGAAACCTCATCGTGTAAAGAGTATTCCGGGAATACTCAGTGTTCCAACTAGGTTGGAGATTCTATTGTGAATCATCGTTATAATAGTCATTGGACTATTCGTGTAATTGTGTTATTGTAATAACTACATTGGTTCAAGTGCTGAACTTATATTCAACCGAGTTGAATTGTGAGTAAATTGACTCAACCGGGTTGAGTCAGGAATCGAGATTCTATAGCTATAAAGCTGAGGCTTTGGAAAGATAGCTTAGACATTGTGTTTCAGGCTTGGAGCCATTAGTTATACAACAAGTTGGACTTTAAGCTTTCTAATGATACCAAAAATAAAAATATTGGCCCAGTAATTGCGAATTTATTATCGTTCAAACGTCCGGAGTACATTATCAATCACCCGGTATAACTTCTCAAGGCTATCTGCACAGCAATAATATTAATAATTCAATTTGTAATTACACAAAAATTTGTCTAGAGACAGAAGAATTCATTTTTGGAAAGGAAAACGACTTATTGAGTTTGTACGTTTGACCGATGACGATACACCCAGTCACGAAACGTTAACTAAATACAAAGGAGGGCTTTGTTTATCGGCTATTAAAACCTCACTTAGAACTAACGCTCAAACATGCGGTTCGAACAACCGCCAATATTACGAATTCAATCGAATTTCCAACCAAAATTACAGGGAATACAAATCGCAATCGACAATTAAGAAATGCACTTGCAATGCTCGCAAAATAGGTTCGATTTTGTTGCGAGACATGAAATCGTTACAAAAGAACCCATAAAAATGCTAAAAAGTACAATTTTACATGACTGGCTCGTTATATTTGTGGACTGCTCTCTGATCCTTTCATACGATTTCCAGAAAAATATCTTTAAAGAGCATAACAATGTCTTGAATGGTCGTAGTCTGTGCTTTTTTCATTATCGCCATTTCGGTCCAAGATTTTTGATTTTTGATAATGATAGAAACCAAAGTAAACAAGGTTTTGAGATTGATGATGAAGAACTATCTCGTTTCAGTTGCTGTCACCAATATCCGAATATTATTTACAAATCGAATCTGATTGGTTTCATTTAAACACCACGCTAATGAAAATGAATTGGATCTAAATACACGGATAGAATACATGAATCATCTAGGAGATGATTATTTATTTCAAGGTGTTGACACCTCAATGATATTAAGGTAGTGCAACTAAAAATTGGCACATAAATTGTTTTGCTAATTATTCAACAATCAGATTAGTTAGAGAATTATTTTTTTTTAATATTCATTAATTAAGTCCTAATAGTATACCATAACTAGCTTTTGTTGCTATATTCATTCTATTTCATGAAAAAAATCAAAGAAAGCGATCTTTGTCAAATTTTTCAAGTTTTGATATTTAACATTATTTTCTATGGGATTTTTTTCCAACTAGCTGTTTGGTCTTCAATTTTTGTTTCATTTTGTTCTCTTGATGGTTCACTTAATGAAGACATAGTTGACCCATGTTTGACCGATTGACTGCAAGTTTCATATTTAGCTTGTGTTAGGTTGTTGGCTCGATACCTGAAAAAATCGTGCCTCTATGTCTAGACATTCTGTCTAAAATTTCATTTGAACTATTACATATGAATGTGTCAATTTTTGGTTGCACTACCTTATGAATACTGTCTTTATCTATTAATGTTAAGAAAATCGGTAATTTGTAGCATAAGTCACTTGTCATAAAGTTTTCATCCAACCAGAGATGATCGACCATTTAGGTTGATATAATGTAAGATCAAAACACAAAATAAAGTATTTGGCTTTTTGTTTAAGTATTAGGGGTATCAGAAAGTTCTGTCGTATTTTTTACTAGTGACTTTTACTTCGCTTTTGAATAAGTTGTACTTATTCAATTCAGTCAATAATTTTAGGGATATAAGAACAATAGTATAAGTGCATGCAGGCCATTTTTTGACTAGATCGGAGTTGATTAACTATAATTAATTTGCTTATCATTATGTACTGATTTTAGAAGAAATTTAAAGGAGTCAGGACTTCTTAATAGTTTCGATGAAAAAATCAAAATGGAATCGAAAATTAACATCAATCGAAAGCTGAAGGTCCATATTATTACTGAGCCAAATTTTAATATTTTAATCATTACCATTATTTCATTATTCAAATTGACAATTCAAAAAAACTCTTTTTTTAACGATTTTCTATGGGATTTTTCAATAGGATTTTCATAAAAATTGCAAAAAAAGTTAAAAAAATCCTTTCTATGGAAATTCAGTGTTAAACAAATTTTTAATCTTAATGGTTTAATTAAATAATGGTGATAGTTAGAAAATTTAAATTTTGCAGGGTAATTATATGGGCCTTAAGCTTTCGATTGATGTTAATTTTCGATTTTGCTGATGATTTTTTCATCGAAATTATTTAAAGTCCTGAATCCTTTAAATTTCTTCTAAAATCAGTACATAATGATTAGCAAATTAATTATTGTTAATCAACTCCGATCGATTCAAAAAATGGCCTGCATACACTAATAATATTGTTCTTATATCCCTGAAATTATTGACTAAATTGAATAATCAGAACTAATTTAAAAATGAAACTAAATCATTAGTGAAAAATACGACAGAACTTTTTGATACCCCTAATACAAAGGCACACTAGATTAATATGCTTTTAATGCAAAATGCTGTAAAATGTTAATTGCAAAACGTAAACTTTAATTGTGTGGTAGGTTGAATCAAGGTTGATTGGGATGAAAATATAAGTTAAATTTGTACAATCAAAGTAAGAACCCGTAAGTTTAGACGAGACTTACGTCTGATTAGACTTGCAACTAATGATTAGAATTGATTCAAACTCAGATTTCAGGCTTTAAAGCTGTGTCTTAACCATTCAAATTCCCTAAATTTGATGTTCAATAATCAACTGATTTTCGTTATTATTAATTGATGATAATGGTTTTTATTTGTTTAAGTTAAACAGTCGTGAGTTCAATTAATAAAGACTTTCTATGGAAATTGAGACACTTAAATGAATTTTGAAGAAACAACATTCATTTGATACAAGAAAATAAACAAAAATGAGGATCGGATGATGATTGTTATTTCCTGAGTTTATTTGTAAGCCAAATAGTAATCTATCGTTGATTATTAAACTTTATACAGCTAATTATACAGCTTCAGCAAAACTTTATTTTTCTTTTCATGAAATTTGAGTAATGCTTTAGTCAAAAATCTCTTAAGCAATTAAGAAAAGTACAATTAACATGAACTGATGAGAAAATAACTTTCTAGTCTCGACATAACCCGTTGCTTATTACACTCCAGTATCTTCTAAGTCGCCATCAACCACTTAAATCTATCAAATTATGACATACGCATTGATAACATGGGTCGATGTAATTTTGATAATGAATTAAATTTTGTAAAAGCTCAACAAGATGAGAGCATGAAATAATGAAAAATTTCGTCAATTTCTAACTCAACTCTTTTCCGTAATATTTTACTCTGTGAATTTTTTATATTGTTGAGCCGTTTGCTTTTACATTATCCTCGCCTACAGTGACTTCATGCCACAATGGATGTTCAAGAAGACGCTTCATCGCTTTTACTGCGTGCTTATAAGAATGGCAAGTGGAGCGATATAACCATTATGAACGGAGATAAGAAGTATCGACTCCATAAACATATTTTGTCGGATGTGATTCCTTATTTTTCTAAAATGTTTTCTTCCGGACTCTCAGAATCAACAAGTCAAGTAATCCAACTTGACCATCCGCCGAATGTGTTCGATCTTATTATCGAATGGGCTTATTGTTCAAAAATAAAGATAACAAAAGAGAATGCTGTTGACTTGTTCCATCTAGCTGATTACATGAATATACCTAAATTAACAACTGTTTGTTTGAATTTCTTATGGAACAACTTCTCTGATTATCCGTTCATAGATGTTGGTCACTGGATAAATCAAATTGCTACGGAAGAAGTGCACAATGTTATTGATGAATATATTCGTTCAAACTTCTTGGACATTGTGAATACAGATTCGTTTCTTGATTACGATGCTGATACTGTTGCTCATATGATCAGTTTGCATGACTTGAATATTGATAATGAGATTGAAGTTTTTGATGCTATCATAACATGGATACAAAAGAGTGTTGAAAGAAGGTCTCATCTTGCAAAATTGCTCAAGAAGATTCACTTGTCTGATATCAATGGAGTTCAGTTCATGAACAGAATCGATAAGTTACCTTGGATTGAGACGTGTGACCAGTTTCGCCCCGTTATCATGGCTGCTTTAGAGCTCAGTTTTTTCAAATCATTGAAGCAGATATAAGTTAAAGACGTAAATTTCAAGCATCGTTTTTTATCTGCTCGTTTTCACTATGCTATCTATAGAAATACTGATTCATCCATAATAGCTCATAATTTCAATGGAAAATATGGCAACATTATTTTTTCTGAAAATCGTTCTCTTCCAACAGCTAATTTTGGTGATTCATATATAAGTGAACATAATATGGATTCTGATGTGGTTATTAGAATTGATTGGAAAAATAAAACTTATCGTTTGTTCAAAAGTTCCGATGGTTACTGCTACACTCTTTTGTTTGAGCGTTTATTTCAATTCAATAGAAAGTAAGTATTAAATTATGTAACCATCCAAAACTAGCTTCACAGTTATGATAATCTAACTTGTAATTGCATTAAAATTTCTCTAGTGACAGAAAAGTTAATTTTTGGAAAGGAGAACGACTTATTGAATTCGGACGTTTATCCGGTGACAATACTTCTAGTCAATCGACCTTCACTGTAACCAAGCATAAAGGAGGCATTTGTTTATCGAGCATCAATCCAATCCAAACAATTCGCTTACCAATCCTTGATAGCTCAAGCGTATTAGTCATTCAGCATCGCGACCCAAATCACAGGCAATACAAATTGACAATTACGAAATGTACTCCGCCCGGAAATAAGTTCGATGTTGTTGCAAGTCATGAAATTGTTTCAAAAGAATCTATAAAAAAGCTGAAAAGTACAACCTTTGATGACTTGTTAGTAATATTTGTTGATAATTTACTGATCCTTTCATACGATTTTCAAAAAAATATCTTTAAAGAACATAAAATCAGTGATTCCAATGGCAATAGCCCGTGCTTCCTGCATTTTCACTCTGTTGGTCCAAGATTGTTGATTTTCAATAATGGACATGGACCCCCAAATAGACAAGGTTTTAAACTTGATGATGGAGAACTGTCTCGTTGGCCCGATTCCAGTGAATTATATTCCAATATTGTATCCAATTCGAATCTAATTGGTTTTATTACACTTGATGCGGAACACAATGCTAAGTTGCATGATTAATAGTTTAAGTCGAATATATTTATAAGATTTAAGTTAAAATTAAATTGATAAATGCATTTTTGATCAATTTTTACATTAAAAAGAAATATTTTACAAAGAATTTATTTGTTACAAATATCTAACTTATATTTAATAATATATATATTTAACTTCAAATGCTCCGAGAAGACTTTGATCCAGTTTTGCCAAAAACAATGCCAATCATCTTTCCGATCATTGCTGGACTCGTTTTCCTTCTCATTGGTGTTAATGTTTTCAATAAAGCAGAAGGCTTTGCTTCACGAATCAAACTTTGAAATGCCAAGGAAACACCAATGTAACTCTCTGCTGCTGATACTTCATAAAACAGACACTGCCATAGAAGAGACAACTCTTGACCATCGTCACAATAGCACTAATAAACTCAGTCCCTACTCTTAACTTTGTGAGAATATTCTAGATCATTATGTAATCATTGCCCAATTCACTCGGAAACAATCAACCTATTGTTTCCCCCATTTGTATTGTCTTGCATTATACTGATTGGCTAGTGACAATTTGTGTATCCGTAGATACGTTACAACCTACTTGTATAAGACATTACTGAGTTATACTAACCGTGTCACTTGTATGTAGTAAGACCGAGAGTCTAGGGGTGTATATCATCATTACTGTAAATACTTCTTATTAATAAATCTCTTAACTTGTAAACTCGAGTCACTCCGTTCTCGTGTTTAACTTAGTCTACTCTGGTGCCTTGCACAACACTGAGCAACCTCTATTCCACCCTCACAAACTTTAAAGGACTAAACTATTTGCATAAACTCATTTTGATTGATTGTGGTTAAAAATGTCGTATTGTTGCTTTTTTTATCTTTTTAGCACAAACCGCTGAGTTTTATTTCTAGCAAATATTAGGAGAGCGAAAAATTTTATCTGAAGATAAACATGAAACTAAAAAAGTGGAAAAGGTTAAAAAAATACAGGAACAAATACGAGTCATCGATTCCAAACATCATGTTATCACCATTTTCATCTTCAGATAAGATTGTTTTTTCTCTCTTACTATTTGCTAAAAATACACATTAACACCATTTAGGTAAACTACAGGAATATCATTGCAGTTTATTGTTTAACTTGTGAAGTGCTAGAAATCGTTTTACCCTGTAGCTCAACCAGAAAAGACCATAAAAAATGAAATTACTAACATAGTATTTCACGAGTTTCTCTTTTTTTGTAGTATTTTTACCGTGCATTTTTCATACTGAAGCCGTTCAATTTTAAATCATTCATATTCAGTTAATTCATATCACAATGGATACTGAAGGTGCTTCATCGCTTTTAATTAGTGCTTATAAAGATGGCAAGTGGAGTGATGTAACCATCATGAACGGAGATAAGAAGTATCGACTCCATAAACATATTTTGTCGACTGCAATTCCTTATTTCGATAAAATGTTTTCCTCTGGACTTTCAGAATCAACAAGTGAAGTTATCAAACTTGACCATCCGCCGATTGCATTTGATCTTATCATTAAATGGGCTTATGGTTCAAAAATATTGATGGCAAAAGAAAATGCTGCTGACTTGTTCAATCTATCGGATTACATGAACATAACTCAATTAACGAGTGAATGTTTAAATTTTTTATGGAACAACTTTGATGATTCTCCATTTATTGACATAGATCATTGGCTTGATAAAATTCACACTGAAGAAGCTCGAAAAGTCCTTGATAGATATATTCGTTCAAACTTCTGTGACATTGTTCATTCAGATCCATTTCTTGATTATGATGTTGGAACTGTCACTCATATGATTAGTTTGGATGACTTGAATATTGATGATGAAATACAAGTTTTTGATGCTATCATAACATGGATACAAAAGAGTGTCGAAAGGAGAAACCACCTTTCAAAATTGCTCAAGAAGGTTCACTGGGTTGAGATAAATGGAGTTCAGTTCATTAACAGAATCGATAAACTGTCTTGGATTATGAAGTGTGATCAGGCACGCCATGATATCATGGCTGCATTTGAGCTCAGCTATTACAAATCATTGAAAACAATTGGAGTTAACGATGTTAATTTTGGGCCTCGCTATAGATCTGAAAGCTTCAACTATGCTGTCTATAGAAACAATGATTCATCTATAAAAGTTGGTGGTTTCACGCATAAAAACATTATTTTTTCAGAAAACCTGCATCTTCCAGCAGCTGAATTCGGTGATTTACATATCAGTGAACATTGCTTGGACTCTGATGTCGTTATCAGAATCGATTGGAGAAATAAAACTTATCGATTATTCAAAGGTTCTCATAGTTATATCCTTCTGTTTGGGCGCTTATTTCAATTCAACAGAAAGTGAGTATTACATAATGCTTAAAGCTATCTTTACAGTAATAATAATTTTTGATAATTTCTCTAGAGATCGAAAAATTCATTTTCGGAAAGGAGACCGACTTATTGAGTTTGCACATTTAACCGAGGACAATACATCTAGTCATGAAACGCTAACAAAACACAAAGGAGGGCTTTGTTTATCGACCATTACGACCTCACTTCAAACAATCGCTCCAACAAGCTGTTCGAACAATCACCATTACTACAAATATTACGAATACACGCAAATTTACAGCCAAAATAAAGTGGAACACAAATCGTATTTGATAGTTACGAAAAGTAATCTACCCGGAAATAGGTTCGATTTTGTTGCAAGTCATGAATTCGTTACAAAAGAACCCATAAAGATGCTGAAAAGTACAACCTTTCATGACCTGTTGTTAATATTTGTTGACTGCTCATTGATCCTTTCATACGATTTTCAGAAAAATATCTTTAAAGAGCATAACAATAACTTGAATGGTCGTAGTCTGTGCTTTTTACATTATCACCATTTCGGTCCAAGATTGTTGATTTTTAATAATGATGGACATATAAGAAGACAAGTCCTTCATGTAATAGATGGCGGAAAACTGTCTTGTTTGCCCTATTCCGTGGATTTATATCCAAATATTGTACTTGATTCGAATCTAATTGGTTTTGTTTCTCTTGAAGCGAAACACCAATGTGATATGCATGAAAATGAATTGCAAATACAGATAATTCAGAAGATTGAATCTTCTCAAATAGCGACATCTCAATGATATTATGAATACTGTGATTATCTATTAATATTATTAAAACCGGTAATTTTGAGTGCAAATTCATTTGATCTAAACAATAGTTTTTCATAAGGTTAGAGATGATCGACCATTCAGGTTGATACTAGAAACGCCACACTGATTAATATTAAATAAAAATGAGTATTATAATAAAATATTGTACAACAAGAGTAAGAAACCCAATTTCATGATCATTTATCTTGCTTTAAGAGTCACCGATGGTTGGTCAGACTCAAATTCATAGATTGAATTAACTTTTTATGTAACGAAAACCGTTGTGAGAAAACATCTGTCACTATTTTTGCATGGAATCGATGTATTTTCTTCTGGTTTCATCTAAAGATAGGTCATAGTGGACAAAGATCAAAGATTACGCATTACATTACGTACCGTATTACATTCATGTACCGAGTGTGGAAAAAATCGTGCATAGCATTTTTTCGCTTTTTTTACTTACCAGGCAGTTCCATGATAGATGAAAAAAGGTGACAATTTAGGCATTCCTTTATCTGAAGGTTCAAAGTTGACATCTTCAAGTTGCTTTGCAATCTCCTTGAAACCAGTTGAAACAAATATGGTGATGACTTGAATAAAACAAATCAAACAAATTTTACACAAGCAAACCTGAATAATTGTATAATTTGAAATGTTAAAGATCAATATATCAGGATGAACATTGGATAGGCAACTTTGATTGTAACCCTGAAAACTAAATCGACTACGTTGAATAGTCCCAGAGGATGAATCCAAGCCAAAGTTGGGACCATTGAGTCGAAATAAAAGTCGCCTGGTTGATAAAGGGAAGGTGAAACCAAATGAGATTCATTGAATGGAGAAATGAAGGCAAATTAATGGTTAAATAAGTGTTTCAAATGGTATCATATCAAATGGTGTTAAGGTTTATTCCCAGCAAATAAATAGACAAACAGCCACATCTAAAGATGCAAACACAAAAGTAAGGAGGACCTGCAAAATCGCCTGTTTTCGATTTTTTTTAAATGTTACTTTTCTGACACAAAATTTAATGTTGATTTCATAAATCAAATCTATTTTTTTATAGCAAGCATAGTTTTTGAGATATTGGCTAAAATATTTAAATATCACATAATATTAGTGACCTTTTAAACATAATTAAGATGGCGTCTAAACCAGCTAAATATTGACATAATCAATGTAATCAAGTATGCTGAATAATATAGTGAAGGTTTGGTTCCTGAAAAAATAGCCAAACAGGGTTAAAATTGTAAAACTGAATTTGAACAGGGATTAATGAGCGTACGGGATTAATAGTGAGGGATCGGTCGGCGCCG